TTTGCAATCAATTATGTCATTTAATTTTAAATATGCACAAACAGATATTTAAATTTATACAAAATTGAACAATTTTAACATATATGTTCCGCATGACAATGTCATATAGGACGAATGTGTTTTTTTGTTCAATGTTATAAAAGTTTAAGTTTCTAGTGTCTACCAAAATTAAAGATCATAATTGATAATTGAAACCAAGTTAAGAGTTATGTTTATGTATTACGCCTTTAATATATTATTATTTGTTTTTAATCTCAAAAATATATTTTTGTTGACAGAAATCTGACATGAAATTTAACTAAACAAATGATCCACATAATTTTTTTATCAAATAAAAAGACCCAACACCCAAATTTAATACTCATATTTGGAACATGACTTTTAAGATTATGGAGTCCTATTCTCTTGGCTTATGCAATTGCATATATCATGATCACTGACTAATTAAGATTATAGGAGTCCTATTCTCTTGGTTTTTGGCTTTGGCTTCTGCAATTGCAAATAGTACTTTTGAGTTTAATGAAACATTAATGATATTTTTAAATCAATAAATAGAAGTGAATATTTTAAAATTATTTTTACTATCTTAAAGGTATTTTTAAGCTTTTTCCCAACTTGCAGCTGATGCTTATTAGTAATGCGAATACATATAATCAATTTTTTGTCCTTATAGTATTATATTAGATAGATAAAATCTTTTACCAATAAGATTGTCTTGGTCTTTTTTGAGAGTTAATTTTGTATTTATGTTATTAATATCTGTTGTTTTCCTTGAATAATTATTTCTTGGAGAATTGATTAGCCAAACTTCTTCTATAGGACTTTCTTGCAAGTCAAGACTTTAAACTTGCCTTTTTCTTGTCATATTTTGATAAATGTAGCTATTTGTTATTTTTTTTCAAATAATATTATGATGATGTTAGTTTGTATATATTTTTTACTATTTTTAATTTATGTCTTATTATTATTATTGTAATTTAAATCAAAATCAATCAAATTCGTAGATTTTAAAGCTAGTAAAATCGAACTAAATATAATTATATATTTATCTATTTAACTGCTTTTGCTTTTGATTTAGTTATTTGGTTTTTACCAAACATAAATATATATTCTTCCTTTCCTTTTCCACTACTATTTCTTGACACCAAACGAAATAATAAAGTAATAAAAGAATTATTTGGTAAATGTAATATCATTTGATTAAATTATTTTCATAATAAGTTAAACATATTTAACTATATATATAGTATCTTAATTAGAACCGAAGGCTTTTCATCTTTCTCAACGAGCAACTAAAATATTCTGTAAAGATGAAAAATATCATAAGGATATTCTTTAAATCTATAATTTATAATTTTATTTTAAAAAAGAGGGTGATTCTTTTGTTTTAGAAAGATTTTGGTTGAGGAATTTGGAAGATGGAAGAATTACACTTTAAAAAAAAACCGTGAATTACACGAGGATTTTCTTGAAGATCAATATGAAAAGTCGCAGGGAACTTATTTCCTGCAAAATTTCATACTAATTCCAAAAAAATCCACATGTAATTCAGAGTTTTCTTATAATGTAAGTAGCGATTTATATTAGCTTATTTTTAGGTTCATTCATGTACTAAAGCATTAAACTCTATTTTATATCAATAAAATCACTCAATTTAATTAAGCATTTGTATCAATAAAATCACTTAACTTAATTTATCATTAAAAAAGTTAACATAAATAAATAAATTATCTTTATATCATGTAAATATGAACCTACATAAATAAATAAAATTTAAAAAAACATCAACGTTTTGTATAAACAATTTAATTAGTGAAAATTATATTACGATATTATTATATAATTATGAAATGCATTATGATGAGCGTTTTCCCAGGAAAAAAAAAGAGCGCGATGGAAAAAAGTCAAAAACCCGTAAAAGATTGCCATGATAAATAATACATCATTTTTATCATATAAAAAAATAATATAATCGTTGGCTTAAATACGAGAAGTATTAAATTGCTGCAAGTCATTGAATTATTATTAAAAATTTTAACGTCTTGTAAAAAAATTGTTGCAATCATTAAGCCTATGATAATAATCAATAATATTTGTTAGTAGGATAACGTCCATCATGATACGTCTTAAATTTTAAATTTGAGTTTGCATAAGTAAATATTTGTTAAATTATTAGTAAAACTTTTTGATGAATTTTTTTGTTTTATTATTTCTGGAGTTAATATTTATATATTTATTTCTGGAGTTATTATTTATATATTTATAGAGTTTAATGACTTTATTAGATAAATTCTTAACTCAGTGGTCTTTTCAGATATTAGTTTCTCATTTTTTAGGTCAAAAAAGTTTTAAAACAACTCTAAAGATAAAGGGATAATGCCCAAGTACCCCTCAATCTATGCCCGAAATTTCAGAGACACACTTATATTATACTAAGGTCCTATTACCCCTGAACTTATATTATTAATAATTTTTTATCCCTTTTTAGCTTACGTGGCACTATCTTGTGGGCCCAACGATGGTTGACTTTTTTTTGAACTATTGCCACGTAGGCTAAAAAGGGGTAGAAAATTACATATAAAAGAAGTTCAGGGGGGTTATAGGACCTTAGTATAGTATAAGTGTGTCTCTGGGATTTCGGGCATAAATTGAGGGAATACTTGGGTATTTTTTCAAAAATAAAAGTAGTATAGTCTCGTCTATTTATGACTTTTAACTTATAAATAAATTTTCATAAGCACATCAAAATTAACATGCCTGAAGAAAAAGAGGTACATCAGAAATGCACTTCTTCTTTCCTTATCTTACCTTTTATTTTTCTTTAGATTTTCTATTTAGTGTTAGCGTAAATATTGAAATTGCGACTAAATTCAAATATTGTATTATAGGATTCACTAAAAAATGACGCCCTGAACATGTTCAAGGCCATATTTAGCAAAACATGATCGAATGATTATATTAAGTAATAATTGAAATTTAAATTGTTTTGAATAAAAAATTTCATATTTTTAACACTCCAATTTTTTATCAAAGTAAGTTATTAATAAAATTAATTTACCAAGATAATATGATTTTTTTTGAAATTTTATAAAACTTATAATGTAGTTCTCATTTTAGGTAATATTTTATTCAAATAAAATCAATGACAAAAAGACAAAAATCTGATAGAGTAAAGAGACATAAAACTTTATTGACAGTAATGTTTTATAATTCGTTACTCTGAAGTAAGACTGACAAACGGACAGGACCGGGTCAACAGGACCGGTTTTATCGGTAACCGGACCGGTACCGGTTTTTTCTTACCGATACCGGATTTTACCAGACCGGTTTTACCGGAAAAGTCTCCCTGTTCCGCCTGTCCGTTAGTAACCGGTTTGGAACCGGGTCTTACCGGTTTTTCCATTTTTTTAAATTATTTTAATTATTATATAATATTATATATTTATATTAAATATTCAATTGAAAACTTTAAAGTTTATATAAGTTTGAAATTAAATTTATACTTTAAAGTTTATATTGAATTTAAAGTTTCAAATTGAATTTAAAGTTTTATATTAAATTTAAAGTTTTTTAAACTTTATATTGAATTTAAAGTTTGAAATTACATTTAAACTTTAAAGTTTATATTGAATTTAAAGTTTTAACGAAAGCCGGATTTGATAGATGCCGATTATAGCTTCCAAAATTCAAACTTCAACTCAATATCACAATATAATAATTAATAATTTATGAGAGATTTATAATTGAGAGTTTGAGACTTTGAGAGATTGTATAAGATTATATAAGTATTGAATTTGTGATTTAAAATGGAAAAAAATGGTATATTTATAGTGTAAATGGGTTAGAAGGGGGTGGGGGGTCATATTTGACCGTTTTGGGCCCCAGCTCAACGGCTAGAAGGGCCCAACGGTCATATAAAATATAAAACGGTAACATTAAAAATATAAAAAAAAAATAAAAAAACCCGGCTAAACCGGTCCTTACCGGATTGGACCGGACTGGAACTGGTTCTTACCGAACCGGTTTAACCAGATGAAAAACCAGGAACTGGTCCGGTACCCGGTCCTGTATACTAAAAGACCGGTTCCTTACCGGTTCAACCGGTACCGGACGGATCGGTACGGGAACCGGATTGGAACCGGACCGGCCAAAAACCTATCCGTTTGCCAGCCTTACTCTGAAGCATGTTTTACAGCTAAAATGTGACTCACAATAACATTTCTATTGAATGGTTGAAAATTGAAATTCAATTTTATACATGCCTCATTCATTATTTAAATTTCCACTATTCAAATGGATAGATATATTTTTTTTCATACCTTCACTTGAAATATATATGATTTTCTTTTTTCTTTCTATTTTATACATAGACAATACTTTTTTAAACAAAAAAAAAATGAGGAAGACTTCGAACAAATCGGAGCTTATCTTGTATCATTTCAATTTCAATGTTTGTGAATAAATCATATGAGATATCATCTTCTAGCCTAAATAATCATCTCTTCCAAGTGTTAGACCAATCAATTTCTTATGATTATTAAATACTAGACTATCAATAAAAAGCTATTGAATTAAATTGATGCAATAAGTAAGTAAAACAACTATCAAAAAAATAATTTAATTGATATTGTAGAAAATCCCTCCTCATTCTCTTTTTCCTTGCAAAAGTATACTTTATATATATATATATATATATATATATATATATATATATTAAATGAGGAATGTACGAGATTGAATTTTAATTTTTTATTTCAGAGAAACGTTACGGTGAGTCACGTTTTTTTAACTGTAAAAAGTGTCTCAGAGTAACGAAATATAAAACGTTACTGACAATAATGTTTTATGTCTTTTTATTATTAAATTTTTTTAAACAAAATATTACCTAATTTTGTAAAATTTAAAAAAAATATATTATTTTAATAAATTAATTTCAATAATGATAAAAAATCGATAACACTCTATTTAATTTTAAGCATATGCTGTACAATTTATATTAGAGAAAATTTAGAAAATGTAATGAATAAAAGTGTCTAAAGCAAAATTACTGATGGGACCTATACATGTTGCTTGTCTCACCCAAAGTTAAAAAAAAAAAAAAGTGAACTCAATTCCATAAGTAATGAAGTAGAAGAAAAACTTAAGCCACGCTTCTTCCACTACCCTTTATACACACAACACACGCCTTGTACAATTCCTTTCATCTAAAAAAAAAAAATTCTCAGATCTCTCATACAGAATAAGAAAAGAAATAAAGGTGAGATAATGCTAAAGAGGCAAGATACATTAGCGGCATCAGGTCGCCGGCAAAGGACACCGCGGAGTGGAGAAAATCAGCATGTTGTGAAGTCTACTGGTTGCATGTCAGGCATTATTCAACTAATTTCCAAATACCAAAAAAAGACGAAACGCATTACTTCTGGAATCAGAAAACAAGGTAAAGTAGTAGTTGTACTTGGGGAAAATGAAAAAAATGATGAAGTAAAGGTAAGAAGCACAAAAATCGAAGCAGATAAAAAGGAGCGGCCAGTAGCGTTAGTGGCGCGGCTGATGGGGTTGGAGGAGATAAAGTGCCTTCCGAGTCCTAATAGGAAGGCGAGTGCAGAAGAGGTAAAGAGAAGGAAGCTTCTAGAAGACTTGGGCAAGTGCAATGACGATTTAGAGTCTGTTCGCCAGATTCTAAACTCACTAAAAAGGGATAAGCAAATTGGCGATGCAGTCAAGCCGCCGACTCCATTAACATACTGCAACAAAATCGCTAAACCTAAACACAATCATAATGGTCAGTTTTCTTCATCCACTTTTTACAATAATTTTGCATTTGTTTTATTTTTTGGCATATTTCTTCGAATCGACAAAAATCTCATATTAATAGTTAATGATATGATTATTCAGATTTCGGCAATTGTTCTTTCTTTGAACTAGTTTTGAGAGTGTTAGTTAGATCCGTATGATAGCATTTGTGGTGAAGTCAAAATTTTCGAGGTTCAAAATATGTAGAAATAGACACACAAAAAACAGATTAGGTTCAATATCTACTATACATATGAAAAAAATTATTTATTAATCGTGTATAAATAATATAATTTTTCATCAAAAAGGATTTGGATGAACCCTTAGTGGCTTTACCCTAATCATAGCACGACCCATTTCATCCAATATTGAGGCCCAAAAATGAAATTAGTGATTTCCCAACAATACTCCTCTTTCTGATTTAACTTTTGAGTCTAATTTTACATGTCCATTTTCACTATTTCTAATAATTGACGTTATAGTCTTCATCTTTTTATACATATATATGTGTTAAAAATATATATCGGTAACTAAAGTGAAAATTTTAACATACCCCCGAAAAAATGAGTATTCCTTTTACTTTTAAGTGAAAAAGGAATATTCTCACCTTAAACATTTTCAAAAAGAAACTATAACAAATAAAATATATAGAAGTATAAACTATTTTACTTAAAAGCAATAACCACCTAAGCAATTGATAGGCATGAGAAGTATTCATTTTTAATCAATTCTTAAATGTTTGGAATTTAAGAACTGGTGATAAAATTACGTACCTTTAATAAGAAACTCTTTAATTTACTTTTAAAGTAGAGACAATTAATTGCTATCATGTTTAACGATGGCGTAGATTTTATAGTGCTAAAGTAACGGAATGAATAATGATATGAAGACGAGCATGGACCATTTTCATCATTACTAGTATTACTTTTGGCATTTAAAGGAAAACTTTCACTAGAAAAAAGAAAATAAAAGTTAAAACTAACTATTGTTTTATTATTGTATATTATTGAAAACTTTGTTGAATTATTTAAGATATGATATATTAATGTATTATTTAATTTGATCTTGTTTTAACATTTCTATTTTTCAATTTTTGAATTTGGATAAATAGACACTTAGATAATGAGTGTGTCTATTTGTTCAATTCTGTATAAATTTAAGTATCTACTATATACATCTAAAGTTAAAGAAAATAAATATAAATTTAAAATAAATGAAATGACATATTTATGTGTTATATTATTATATAATTGTATATTACTTACCAAAAAATTAACCATGAAAACAATAAACAGGAAAAAATTGTATCTTTTGGTAACGGTCTCCAGATCTATGCATGGAATCTTTTGCTAAAAGCTTCATTTGTTTGCCTCCACATAATAATATTAATAATAATTAGTCATGATTTGGTCAGAAAATGATGAAAAAGTGAAAATATGAAAAAGACATTCTACCCAAAAATATGAAAGTAAAAAAGCAAAAGTCTTATAGGTCCACTCTGCACTGTCTACCCACACTTTTTTTGTTGTTCATGTTTTTATTAATAACATGATTTATGATAAGATGAGATTAGGGGTATAATAACTGCTCTTTGAGACATGGATCGTTATATTTATTTGATAAATTTTATTGTATCGTATTGTTGATGGATTTAGACAAGGGTGAAGGTAGACGGATTAAGGGTGGAATTAAGAAAGTATAATCTTTGGAGAAATACATGCGCAAGTAAATTCTTTTAAAATATATAAGAGTAGTTGATTATACTATGATAGGGGAGAAAATCTTAATGAAGATATTGAGTCCCAATGGGGATGTATATGATGGGGGGAGGGATCGAGGTGAACAATTGGGATGATTTTTTATGGATAACTTTCGAATAAGATATGTTTATGAAACTTTAGACAAATTTCATATCACAAACAGAAAGAAAAATGAAGTGTTAAAAGTACTAAGTTTACATGAATGCATGGTACATACAATTTTGGACTCATGATGGTCAAACCCTGTGGATAAATCTGTATGTTTGTTAGCAAAATTCAATCTTTGACAATTGAAATATGTTTGGATCGTGACAAATATGATATCAAAGTTTATGGGATTCCCTTAGTACGATGGCGGGGAAATCTTTGTAAAGCGATGAGTCCCAAGTGGGGTGTTTGTATGTAGTGCCACTAATTAGCCATGTGCTGGCTAATGAGAGTGCCCCAAGATCGACTGACATGTTTTGAGGCTGACAAACTTTTAAAAACTAGGTGCATTCGACATCTTAGACAAATTCTATATACAATGGGACAAAAAGAGCGAATTCAATATATGTAAACTATGATGCACGTAAACACATGATCTTTCTGTAAAACTAGATATTTTATGTCTTAAATATATGATAAAAAATTTTTGTTCTCCAAAAAGTAATTTTTGTATTTTCTTTGTTTTTGAAGGTCATATTACACAACAAAGGATCAAGAGGCTAGAATCATACGAACCAATTGATAAATTTACAAATAATGCACCATTATTATATCACATGAAGCCAAAGTCATGCAGCAAAGGCATGATTCAAAGTGTGGAGGAAGTGTGGAATGAGAATGAATGGGGAGAAAAGAGAGAAGCAGGGAAAATAGGACTAATATTACAAGATCAAATTTACAGGGACTTAATTGAAGAGCTTCTCAAAGAAATGAATCTACTAATTTCCTTTCGTTCTTTACCCTTCTTAGCATGTAAGAAAAGGCTTTTCTTTTAAATATCTCATATTATTTCTGGGTTTTTTTTGTCCTTTTATATATATAGATTGAGATAGGTGATCTTTGTTGCTACTATACTTACAGTAAGAGACTGAGAAAAAAGATTTGGCTTATTATTATTTTGGTTTGCACCATTTATTTTCTATATGATATACAATATCATTAGTTGTCTACTATATATGTCTATTTTTGTTAGTCTTGATGTTTGTATGTGTGATGAAGGACATTTGATGATGAATTTATGGGCAAAATTAAGGACTGGTTATCAATATTTCCCTATTGAATTTAGTCAGAAAGCCTAAGCTATTTGAATCCATGAGTAAATTAATAAGAAATCAAGGACGAGAAGCTACCATAATTCAACCAATTAAGAAATTACACTAAACAAAACAAAGTGTTTTTCTTTCCCCACCTTCTCTCACACAAAGTCATTATTTCTACTAAATATATATTAAAAAAACTATTAAACATTTCATATATAAAATTGTGGACAAAATTATTGAATTTTTGACCAAAATAATTTATTATTTAAATCAATTTACGACAGTAATATATATTTTAATACTTTACAAAATTAGTATAAACATTATTGATACTAACGTATTAGATCATGTTTTAATTCTGCTAAGGAACGGACCAAAACTAACGGGGGACAGTGGTGTTAAAGTTGAAATACGTTACTACAAGTAACGTTTAGAGTTTAAGTCGAAATATGTTACAGCTGGTAATGTTTTAAAATTATTATACTAAAACCCGTTTTGATCTTTTTATCTTAAATCCAATTTACCCATTAGCCGTACTTCCCTCATCTTATAACCTCAGCCCAATTTCATACTTCTTCCCCTTCTTTCCCTCGCCAAGAGAGCATATGCACATTGTTGTTTCGATTCTCATCATTTGCATTGCCGGAAAAGGATATTCACGATATTTCAGCGCCATAAGTATTTCAAGAGGTAATTTCTTTGCTTAAGGTTTGATTTTTTTTTACGAATGAATTAAATTGTAAGTAAGATTCTATCTTATATAAATTGAAGAACCCGCCAACCAACACATGTTGGATTCCAACATAAGTTGTTATATGGTTACTTGTTTTGTTTAATTCAATTTAAGGATTCATTTTATGGCCACTAAACTCAGATTTGTTATTTAAAAGTCGTAACAATCGTATATTATTGAGGAATTGATAAATTGAGTAGCAGTGCATTGTAAAGAAGAGCTATAGTCATTGTTACATTGTCTTTTAGATTACTATATGTTTGCTAGTTAGTTACATAACATAATTAGTTTGTTAACCTAAATTAAGTGAGCTCATTAGTTGATTAGCTTTGATTATTGTAATTATCTCTTTAGTCAATATATAAATAGCCTAGTGTACATATGTAAACATACAATGAAAATATCTAATAATAGTCATTTATATTCTTTTCTGTAATTCCTGAAATTTGCCTCATCTCTCCAAACAATTCACTGCAAATTTCAATGCTTAACATACATCAAGAAAATAATATACTCGAGTTCTATTGTTGCTTAGTGTAGTTTAAGATGGTTTGTCTTATATCAATACACTTCTAAATTAAAGAGATGAGTGTAAAACTTTTAAATGTGATTTCGTAACTTTATCTCACTTTTGAAGTGTGCTGCCAAGAAAACATTACATAATAGTTCGGGCTAACATTTAAGTTTACTTTCATGTATATTTCGTAGGTATTAATTTTATGGCTAATAATATTGAATACAAGTTGGATCCCAGTCTATTGGAATCGAATGTATTAATAGGACAACTTACTCATAAATCACAATATATATGCGAAGGAAATGTTAATATGATTCTTAATACAAGGAAAAAAGATTGAAATTTTTGGAAACTAATAGAGAAATATCACATCCATCCACGAGTTCTTGAAGTAATTAGATTATCTGGATTATATGGTGTTTACAAATCTAATCAGCCTGCTATTAACCATAGTTTGATCACTGCACTAGTTGAGCGGTGGCGTCCCGAAACTCATACTTTTCACTTTAGAACAGGCGAAGCAACAATTACCTTGCAGGATGTAAAGGTGTTGTATGGATTACCTGTGAATGGTGATCCAATACTTGGTAATGAAATGATAAGAACCATTGGGGATTGACAAAACATTTGTCAAAGACTATTAAGTTTTGTTCCTTCTCGTGAAGGCTTCAAAACAAATTTCATCAAGGTCGCTGCATTTAATTCACACATGTTAAGCAAACCACAATTGTCGAACATGGCAACATAAGATATGATCAATTAGAAGGCAAGATGTTACATTTTCTAGATGATTGCAGGTATGATGATGGCGGATATGTGTGGTGGTTATTTGAAGCTTATGTACTTGTCTGTGATCGAAAACATCGATAAAATTGGATCTTATAGTTGGGGGAGTGCGACCTTGACATACATGCGTCATTTTCTTTGCAAAGCTTCACAGAGTACCCAAAATGAGATAGTCGATTTTTGCCACTACTTCAGGTATACCTAATAATTGTATATATAATTTATTTATATTTCTTTTAATTTGTCTGTCTAGTGTTATTGGAGGATGAAATTTTTTAGAGATGTAATCCTAAAACTTTTCTCCCAGATTTGAGCGTGGGAGTCCGCAAATAGTAGCCCAAAAAATACGAGAACTATTTCTCCTGTTGGTTTGCCTAGGGATCCACATGTTACTAGATGGTTTGCGCATCTTAGTTGGACGAATACTACCAAGCATGTGTTGGAAGTTTATAAGAATGCATTTGACTCTATGATAGAAGATCAGGTACAATGATTTTACTTATTTATGAATATTGTAAATGTAAACTCACTTTGCTCTTTTCCTTTTTCATGTAGTTTATTTGAAAATCGTATTCCGATGACTTAATTGAAGTCTTCCTCTCTATTGTCATGCAGGACGAGACATATGGCGAGTTAGAGTTCCAATGTTTTGTTGGGACGTGGTCGAGCTTCATTTGTCAGATCGTGTTATGATACAATTTGGACTACAACGAGCTATACCAACTCCGTTTCCATTTGATTCCAACCACATTTGTCATGATCGCCGGGAAACACCAAATACAAATTGGGAGTTGGAACGTGCACATTGGTTATCATTTTGGAACCAACGTCTCCAATATAGTTGTGATGCACCGATTAATAATGAACCACTTCGCTATGATGATCTATAT